CCTCCCCGAGTGGCCTTTTTTTTTTGGCGGGGGGGGGGATGACAGGGATGGGGACACAACACTTGGCTTCTCCGGGGAGGGTGGACGCCGTTGGGACCTCTGGATGGAGCGTGGATGGACCTTCTCCTGTCCTGCTCGTTGCCTCCAGGACCCCCCCCAAACCCCGGGAAGGGGGGGGACGGGACACAAAGCCACGTGTGTCCCCCCCTCCTCGCCCCACACGCGCGTGTGTCCCCCGTTGTCCCTCGGGCTGTGTAACGCTTGTGGCCTCGTCCGCTCTTGGAACCGCCGCGCAATACACCCTGTGCTGCTGAACCCACCGCCGCCTGCCTCCTCTGTCCTTTCAACCTCTAAAAATTGGGGTTTTTTTTGGTGTTTTATGATTTTATAAAGGGGTTTGGGACCAGCCCCCCCCCCTTCACCCCACACTGAGAATCCAACAAACTCCTCCGTTCTCTGTTTTGACCTTCGTTCCTGATGAAACTCACCTTAATGATGGCAGAAACGAAGGTAAAAAGTCAGGAAAGACCCAAAAAATATATCTATTTGGGAAAAAAACCCAACGTTTTCAAACAGGATTTTTAAACTAGAGTGACTCAAGCAGCAGGACCCGAGATAATGATGGTAGGGGCTGTAATTCGGAGCTGTAATTAGGCAAACAGGCTTATTTGCACAATTCTTTTTAAAAAGTGGATGGTTGGGGGCAGTGGGGCGGGTAACAGAGGCTGAAAAAGTCAGTTTTTGGTGGCACCAGTAAAAAAAGTAAGAAGTGTTTTATATTTCGGGAGCTGTATCATTTTATCCCTGGATTCCTTAAATTCAACATCAATTTGGTGTCTTTCCTCCAGTTTCTGCCCAGCCCTTGGTTCGGGCTCCCTCACGCTGTTCAGGGCTGGATGCGCAGAGGGGATTTTGGTGAAAAAAGCTGGAGATTTCTATTTTTCTCACTAAAATGACAATGAAGCGGGTGCCCGGCCGGGCATTGTCATTTTAGTGAGAAAAACAGGAGCTCAGGGGGGTGCGAGAGGTTTCTGGAGCTCTTTGGGTCAGGGCCGAGCGGAAACTCCTCGTTTCTGCCCCATTTTGGGGGTGGCGGAGGGAGGGGGCGGTTGTGGCGGGGGGGGGGGGGGGGCCGTGGG